TAGTAGCGGCATAAAATGAGTTTTTAAGAATTCGTTGAAACTCTCGCGATATATACAGATTTAAACATAACTTAATTGTTGGCGCAATTAGAAAACGACTGACCACTCGGAAGCTAAGATATTTGCAACTGAAAATGAATTTTTATACATGTCCCTTGAGGTTAATATCACAATTTTTAACTTTTATTTTTAATTTTTTTTTTAATCGCATTTAGGATCTTAAAAACTATTACGATATTAAGGACTAATATAGAGACATTATACACAAATTTCGGAATTATTGACCATATTATTTTGAAAATACAACGGTGTAAAGTTCATAATTTATAGTAATATTCGAAATACGTATACATATATACACATAATGAAAAAATAGCATTAAAAGGGAAAATAAAGAATCATATTTTCATATTTGTAATATTGTGTATATATGTCTATCTCAACTTTGTGTGTTTCAAATTAACATATATTATTTAGGTAATAAAATAAATATATAGGAACTTAATATTGTCTGATAAATATTAAATTTATAAATGGTCCTTGATGCGCCACTGAAAATATGATATGCAGAGCTACTACCTTAATAAGAATATTCCAGGACGGGAAAAATCCCCAGAATTTTTCTTTATTTTTCCGGTGGCGCGATAAACAATGCTTACATAGAGTACCTATAAACACCGTACGTTTAATTTCTGATTGACTCCGCCATGTTTGGATCAGTTTCCGGTTGGAATGTGTCAAAGGTTGTTTTCCAGCAAGAGGAAAAAGTCGACACAAATGTAGTTATATCATCTGTTATTCTTTTCTGTTATTCTTTTCTTTACTAAATGCGAAATAAGCATATGATGACAATAAATAATAATGATGTGTTGACTCGTGTTTTTTTGCTGAAAATCAACCAAAGTTTTAGCTAAGTGACAACACAAGCAAAGATTTGCCATCTATGAAGTCAACGAAATGTCTACGAATTAAATGAAAAGTAAGTTTGTTTTATATTGTGATTAATTATTAACTTATTTTGGTTTACTATTTCAATAATATTTGAACATTTCGCGTATTATGGCTGTGAACTTTCAATCCAAACATGGCAACCATAGCAACGATGTATATACTTTTATACGTATTCTATGCTCACACATCGAACTTACTAATTATGAATCGAGTGGGAAACGACGAAATTCGCGTCTCGCAATAACCAAAATTGTTCTCCGCGTGTGTTCGGATACTAAACGCGTTGATCCGTTTAACACCTCCGCGTTCTGTTTACAATCGATTAATTCGTCTCGCTCTGGCAGTTTTCAACCGAGTATCTCGCGAGATATCTGGAGCGGGTTTTAAGCGAATTTTACAGGCATAATCGATCTGAACGCCGTTGCCTGAATGATTAATATGTCATTATAAACAAGCATTCGCACTCGGTGGCCAAATTAATTTCACAGGGACTCCCAGTGCGCGTTAGTGGCAGACCAGGCTAACTAATGATGTTAAATATTTGATCCTACGGGTCACGACTGCGCCGGAACAATCAGGGATTAATTTAACTACCATGTTAAAGAGGAATTTTGATGCGCGCCAAATGTTTTGAAAACTCTCGAAATTCTATTAAAGTTAACGGATACTTTCTCAAAAAAAAAAAAAAAAAGCGAGACCGATATCTCGGGTGATATTCGAGGCGGTTCGGGGGGCGTTTAACGTAGAATCAAGCTGGAATTCATCGGAGGATACGCGATTAAAGTTTCACAAGGTCACGGCTCACCGTTCGTGCAGGAGACACCGTTCCCCCTTGAAACAAGCTCGCTGAAATAAATTTATTAATTCAGACCTTCCATTGATTCGGCGAGATTTTAATAAATTCAACGCTCGCGCAATTTCGTTGCGCCGCAGTCGTAGGATATTTCCAATTGATTCTCATTAGTCTCGCAAATCTCACTGTCATCGCTTTAATTATGAATTTTCCATTACGCGCGATATACACGGGACGACAGGGAGAGCTGAATACATTTCACGGGCGATGATCATAGGGAATTCCTATGGCAGGCCTGGTAAACTGCAACGCGCCACGGTCACCTACAAATAGATACGCGCCAACGGCGGATCGAATCCTCCCGTATATCGTGCGAACTCGCTGCAAACTATTTTCGAGAGCTGGCCGCACCCGCTGAATTTGTCCAGTCGGGTAAGCGAGTGGTAGAGCCTCTAGTACCGGCGGACTCGATCTAGCAGACTTGACTCAGTTGCTAAATGCGCCCGAGAGCGACCGAGATGACGCCAAACGCATCCGCGCTCCACTTCGCACGGGGAAATATTTTCTTTCTTCGCGTGACGCCTCGGTTTATTTTGTTTTGACGTGGAAATCGGTGCCGCGATAAACAGCGAAGAAAAGAGGGGAGAATACACGGGGTGTGCGTGCCGTTTCGTCGCGGCTCAGAGTGAACGCGGCGAGCCCGCGTAATTGATCGGTACATTTGCAACGTCGGTCGCGAGAAGTCGATCGACTGAAAGTGAAGATCCGTCCGTCCAGTTGTCGGGTTCATCGCCAAGTCCCAGTTGAGATCGGTCGCTTCTGAACACAAACGCGTTCTCCCGAGGAAATTCGATTAACGATGGTAGGTACAATTGTCATCACGTATTTCTGTCGGATCTCTTTCTCTCTGAGAGGGCTGATCATAAATCGGGAATGGGAATTCGAAGGGATGCATTCACGTAGAGCAGGAAGCGTGACGTGAACGCAAAAAGGTTGAATGAGAGGCGCATGAATCGCGATCCCCTCGCGAGATTTATTTACCTGTGGAGCCAAGAAAAGCTTTGTTTTGGCAAATATTCCGGGAGTGTGGCGTTCATTCTCTCGGAACTCGATGTCCAGATGTCGACGCTGTGCAGGTTCTAAAAGCGCGCTCGCTTACTTTCCTACGTAACAACGTTACGTCAAACCTAGCTCGACCTCAGTCGCCCACCGCTGGATCGATCAAACAGTAATTCGAATTTCTTCACTGTCCCATCTATCAATTGTTTCGAACTACAAATATAAAATAATTTCTGATTTTTTCGAACTACAAATATAAAATAACTACTGATTTTAAATACATATCGCATACGCATAAAAAAAAATTAGCTAAAAACTAGGTCTGGTAACTAAATTTTAGTTATATGGACAGCTAATTCCCTTTTTTTTCCGTGCATAGATAAGAGAGAGGAGGGGGGGGAGGGGAGAGAGAGAAAGAAATAATGCATTAATTTTGGTATATCTAACGTTATCGAGCACTGAAGTCAAAGTTATTTCATGCAGGCTTATTTACAAATTAATATCCTAATAAAAATGGCTTCTCGTATTTATAATTCGATAATAAGTATTCATTCGACACGAAAGCTTGAAAAGTGAACTGGAGAAATAACAATGAAATTTTAAGTGTCTCCGCACTTTGTTTTAAAATCGCTTATCTAAATTCCAATAGAAGCCCCGTTATGGATTTTACGTCGCGCAGTTTTACGCCTTCCCAGTTACGAAACGATTAATTAGAGACGCTTTAGGACCACCCAGTATATGTCAAACAGAGAGAATCCGGCTCACACCCTCGGCGTACCGAGGCAGCGCTTCACGCTCTTTTTTGCCCCTCACGACACATTATGCAGCTGGATTATCGTCGTGCATTCGAGTGGCGTGCGCAGAAAATCCCCCGCGATTAGAAAAACTGACAGCACGCCGAGAGGGTTCAAAGTGAGCTGTTGGATCAATCCGCCGGTTCTTGGACCCTCTTTTTCCAGGCGCTCGCTACGCGCCCCCGCTCGATAGGAAAACCAGACGCCACCTACGTCAGGCACGGAGATTATTTTGAGTCCTTTTTCAACCTCTTGATAGATTACACCGCCGCGTGAAGAAACGGCGCCGGTCTAATGAACAATTTATCATCGCCCTGGCGGAGTTCGCGCGGCTCTGCACCGAATTTCTTCGATATCAAAAATATCGCTCCACTGTCGGACTTCGAAACTGATGATCTCGGACACAAGAAGCCCCTCTTTCGCGTCGCGACGAACGATATTAAATCACCGAGGACAATTGCCGCGCGACAGAGGGCGAGGCGAGAAACGTGCCCGACGGAAAGTGTCGCTACGTTCCGATGAAAGGTTCCGGTTCTAACGTTCGAGTTCGGTTAGACAAAGCGCCAATATCATCGACGTGTTTAGAATAGACACGTATACAGTGCACGTATGCGTGTGCATATGGCGAACGCCTGACGATGAATGAAAACATATAAATTTGAACGATATGCACGCTCGTCGAGGAAAAAATAGCGACGGAGATCTTCCTCGCGCGGATAGCTATTGCGTAATATCGCGGTCAAGGCGGACAATAAAATGGTGAAATTTATAAGAACGCCGACGACGACGCTTCTAAAATAACATCAAAGACGCTGATCAGTGCCGGAACACTTGCTGGACGTCGACCTATGTTGTCAGACGCCGGCGAGGAATCTCCCCCGGATGGAGATCTAATGCTTCCACTAAATTTATGTATTTTCCAAAACCCCTCCCTTAGTAGCACCCGCCGCTGGGTAATTTTAACACACCGTATCATTTCTTATCTCCTGTATCCCGACATAATTGGACCGTAGGAAAATGATGTGGTAACTTTTGTCCGCACTATTTCCACTTCGGGAGCGAATTGGAAAACGGGAAATTTCACCACTTAAATCCGCGGGACTGTCGCGATCGCGAAACGATTTCCGACACATTTCGTCCGAGTATCATCTCCGTTCGACTTATTTCCCGGCTAGTCGGCCAGTTTTCTTATTTTTGGCAAGACATGTCCTCTATCTTGACCCAACGACGACGCTTGTGTCATCGTCTCTCGGCGTCTGACGACACGGCCCTGGTGCTGCGAGACCACGGGGGACTACAAAAGATTTAAATAGTCACGAGGGCGAGAAAGAGTGAGAGAGAGAGAGAGAGAGAGAGAGAGACCTACGGCGGTGGTTTCGTGACGCGCGATGAAGAAGCGGACGAAGAAGAGCTCGCGGTAGGTAGGGATAAAGACCGCGGCAGTGATGTAGTTACGCGCCGACTAGTTCGCCCGGCGACTCAAAACGGCCGGCACGCTTTTCGCGGCCCTCGCTAAACTGTCAAACTCGCGAACGATAGCAAGCATCCGTGACTGGTCCGGCGGTTCATTAGCGACACTCGTCATCTCGTCGCTTCGATGCCTCAAGGGTGATATCTCGAAGTCATTCTCAGCGTGACGACGACGACGGAGACGCGCATCTGGCTGAGACGCGCGTCACGTGGTTACGTAACGAAAAAGAGAAAGACGCGGGGAAAGACGGAGGGAAGTTGAACAGTGACGGGAAATTCGCGAGGCTCGGGCGTGCGAAGTGCGCGGCGGATTCGCGCGGGGTAGAGGAGCGGGAAAATCTAACGAGCCGTGCGAGTTGTTGGTGTGCTAATAAAACGTATGACCGATTTATCCCCGTGAAGAGCTTTTCACAGTGGTTACTCGTCCACGGTATCCCGTACTGTGTGTTACCGACGCTCGTGGGTATCTCTGTCAAAAATCCTAAATCAGTCTCTCTGTATGAACCCTTTCGCTGCGTACGACGTGTACGCAAAATATCACCGAAAAGTAGCTTCTCAATTGCATACGTCCTGCATATGCGTCGTGGAAAATCGTTCGTTATTTACGGATACCGTACAGCATTTCGTTCGAAACTTTGTTGAAATTTTCTTTATTATATTACCCCGCCTCAGTGTCACGCAATCGAATATCGTGCCGCGCGTAGTAAGCACTTTCGTTTGGAGTGCGCCGCAGCGAAAAGCTTAAATCAATACCTAGATTCAAGTCGACATTTTCACTATAATTAATGTTTTATGATTAAAATTATTATTATTATTACACGTCAGTACTTATATATTAATGTATTTTGCAACTCTTTTTTCCTCTGTCTGTTCATCTATATTTTCATTTAATTATGGCCGCATCCCAAAAATGTGCTGAAAGTACTGACAGCATTGAAAATCCATAGTATATGTAACATGAACTATAAGTTTTCAATTCAGCACATTTCGGAATACAGTCTATGCGTATTAAAGAACGCTCCCCGTTAATAAAGATTATTATTATATTATTATTATCATTATTATTAAAATCAAAAAGGGAAGTCTCCGATCGTTCGAAATGTAATAATATCGATTCGACATTCCGAATTGCGCGAGGCGCGCTCAGAGGTACCGATGAACGTCATTCGTCGTACAGCACGGAATATCGCAGCTTTTCATGGGAAACATTCGGTCATACGGAGGAGGAAGCAACGAGTGTGGCACGATGTCGATGCAACCGACTGACAGGGTAGTCGCAAAAATACGGCTACTCCGAGAAACGACTGTTTCCGTTCGCGGCGGCACTCTCCCGGAATAAATTCGCGTCGAAAGATGAAGCTCAGACTCCACGCCGTTAGCCAGCCAACGGTGATTTGTCGATGGCACGCTAATAGGGTATTTAATGACTCGATTGGCGAAATGACCGCCGTCCGAGCGCATGACTTCATTAAAGAGGCGATGCGCGCGTAACGCGAGAACTCGCTGCCGCTGCCGATCCGTCGTGGCGAGTCACGAACCGATTCCTCAACGAGAAGCCATCGCATGTACGGTGCTTTCTGAGGCGCGAAGAAATGGAAAGAACGGGACACGGACACGATGCAGAGAAGAGACACAAGCAGACCGACCAGGCGGGAAGAGAAGGAAAGTTCGTTTCTCTCGTCGCGGAATTCCGGTACGAGCTCCTTCAAGCATTCCCCGCGCGCTTTAATCTTTCAATGCGGCGACACGAACTGACGACGATAGATACATCAGCGTCTTTTTAATCATTTCGATTTCACGTTTCTCACGTATTCTCTCTTCCGATTTACGCGATGATCTCGCGATTTGAGCTAAATCGCTAAATTATGTCATCAACTTCTAATAAATGTACTAAAAAATTAGAAATAGAAATTAAAAATAGGACATTATCCTCAAGGAACACATATGAAAAGTGTCATCTTTAGTTACGAATATCTTAGCTTCCGAATGGTCAATCATTTTCTAACTTTACACAGACTCGTAAATAGTACACGTATCTCCACCGAAACATACAGCTCAAATTTAAAAAGATTCTTAAGAAAATGATTTGACATAGCAGCTATCTTAAAGTGATCGAGGTCTATTTTTTTATTCAACTGTAAACATGTCTCAGTTTTCAAAGAAAATCTGCGGCGTTGTACAAAAGCTGTGTTTGAAAGCTCGCGTTACGGAATTTGCGACGCGAGCCCCTTCGGTCTTTCCAACAACGACTAGCGCAACGGGGGTGGTAAACACCGAGTAATCGAGCGTTTAAATTCGGGAAACGTCATTAACGTGGCCCAGACAGGCAAAAGAGCTCCCTTGCTCTCCCTTTCCTTTCTCTACGGCGCGGTACTTACCTCGCGCGCGCGCGCGGAGACGTTTTATGAAAAAAGTTTTTAATACCCACCCACTTCATCTGCTTGTCGCACGGCGCCCGACCACCCTTTCGTTCGCCGTAAAAAGGGAGACACGATAATGTCTATGGAGCACACAGGTGGATGCGATTCTCTCGTTGATAGAATCTACGTGGCTACGCTTCTCCTCCGCTATAGTCCTTGCGCTATAGAGCTGCGCAAGGAGATATCAGTTTGTCATAATGGCTAGTGCGCCGTGGAGAATTCTTCTCCGAGTTAACGCGAAGAAGAAGAGAGATAGAGAGAGAGAGAGAGAGTTCTCGTAAAGGACAACGCGGAGGACGGTATTATCACTCTCGCGATGATATTGAATCCGAAGGCGAGTCAAAGGCGCGGGTTTTATAACGCTGAGGCGCGGGCCGAGTTTACGAGATCGTTGCTGGGCTTCTCGCGCGAACGGCTTCTCTAAGTACGCGATATACGTCCGCTCAAATTACGACTCGCATCTTGCGAGAGCGCTCTCTCTCTCTCTGCGCTTGAAGAGGCATTCCCGGATCGCCTAATAAATGGAACTTTCTCTCTCTCTCTCTCTCGTCGTTAATTTTCTCCGATGCACCCTACTCGCGAATATGATCCCGGGCGAAACGAGTGGCGAGCTAATCGAAAAACGCGCGATTACCGTCAAGATCGACGGCGGTGGTTCCGAGCGCGGACGTGCGCGCGCGTTTCCACGACAGCGTCGGTAATTAATGGGTACGAAGGTCGAGAAAGGTGCACACGACGGTACACGGAGATATACATAATGGTACACCGTCTTTGCCGAGTGCGCGCCGCGCGCGCAGATGCACGCGATCCCGGCGACGACGGCGTGCAACGTTTACGTGGTGGTCGACGGCGACGACGCGGCGAATGCACACGCGGCCGTCGGATGGGAGCACGTGACTCTCTCCGTCTTCCATTCTCCGTCTCTCTCTCTCTCTCTCTCTCTCTCCTCCACCAACAAAATTAGCATAAGCCGTCCCGAATTCCGATACGGCACGGCGGAGCGGCGTGGAGAGCACCCGCGAGATTCCCGGAAATCCCAACTTGACAATGCAATCTTGACTAACAATAAGCACCGACGCGAAAGTAATCCCGGGCACGCGACACACTCGGCACCTCAGGAACTCGCCGCTGCCTCGCGGCGGACGCGGAATTTCCACCTCTCGGTGGGGGGAGGGGGGGGACGCGGGCTTGTTGCAGTTTCCCTGAGTAAGCGCGCGCGCGCGGAGTCCCTCTCTCTTTCTCGGCGAGGAAACCGCAGCGGCGAATTTCCGGAGACGAATTCCCGCACGAGAGCGAGCACCGGTGATAAAAGTACGAGTTGAGGCTCACAATCGTGGCAACACGATCGCAATAAATACAGAACGCGGGTGAAACGATAGCGTGGAATGACAGTGAGTGCTTCCTAAGCGCGGGTCGTATTATGCAATTCCGCCCGGTTTCGTTCGCGCGCTCTTGACTTAAGCTCGCGCGGGAAATTCGCAATGGCACGGTGAATAATCGCATTGCCACCACGAGGAATTGTTTAATCTCGCACGGGATCGGCGAACAAACGTTCGCGGATTATATTCCGGGCGCGTATAAATAATATAGTGAGATGATGGTGAAACGATACAACAATAGTGGGCGCGTCGGAAATAAGGCTGATGTCATTATTCAGTTTTCTGGCGCCGCTGTTGCTTTGGGAAACTCGCACGGGAGAGATGCAATGTTACAGTGAGTAGTCTCGCTCTAGCGTGAAAATTTCTCCCAAACGGAGATGCGTCGTCGGAGGGCGAATTTTAATCCTGCGGCGATGAGTATTCGCGGGAGAAATTCGCGGACATCATCGAGCTTCACCGAAAAATGAGTTTGGTTGATTCCACCTGACAATGAACACAGCCAAACGCGCCTTAGTTGAAGAAAACATAATTTCTGGTTATAAAAACCAAATTCGGGCTCATGAAAAATTGAAATTTGGTTTCCTTCAAGTAAAATGTGTTGTCCACTATTATACGGTAAAAAATTTGGTGTTAAATTTAATATATTTCACATGTCTCAGACGGTCCACTCAAATTTTTGTGTTAATTTAACACAAGATAAATACATTGAAAAGTAACACAAATATGATGACAAAAATTATAACACGTTAATCAATACAGAAGTATAAAATGTGTTATTTTTACATTTATACATGCTGAATATCGACACAATATGTTGAGACAACATAAACACAATATATAGAATTAATATACGGGTATGTTAACAATTTAACAAGGGTCGATTTAAACAAAAGTACAAAACGTTTTTTTATTGTACAGGTAGATCCGGCCAAACTCATTTTTCAGCGTTTACCGAACAACAAAGTCTCCCGCTTTCAATTAAGCTCGGATTTTCGCACAAAAGGGATATCTCGACTCCGAAAGCGAACGTCTGGGGACGCGTTTGAGGGAAAAGCGACGAGTTCGTAAAAGTTTGCGACTTGTGACATGGCCTGTAGTGCGTCGACGATGCGAGTCGGCGCGGAAAGAAAGCGCGTCGCGAGACAGAAAGCTGAAAGAGTCGAAAGACGAGCGGCTCTTTCAATGCGCGACGGGCGGAAGCGCAAGCTCGCCGGGGCGTAGAAATGTTGTCTCCGTTCCTCCCGCGAAAAGTGTTACGAGACACCTCTCGCAGCCGGGGGCTTTCATAAAAATCTGCCACGCGGGCGAAAACGAACGTTGTCGTCGCATTCACAAAGAGAGAGGCAAACAACTCTCGTGTTTTCGCGAATGCCTCGATCGTACTTTTCGAATGTTCGATCGAGGACGCGCGCGCATTTTACCGCGGAAAACGCGTCGATATCCGCGCACCGAAACTTTCGAGCGCGAGATGGAAATTCCGGATCGATCTCCGGACTCGCGCCACCTTCCCGCCCGATCCCGACGGCGCCTACTAAAGTGAAACTTCTAAACCTCCTCGTATAAAATTTCAGATTTTGTGGCACCATTGTTGCCGAGAACCAAACCGCAAATTTTACCGAAGTAGCAAGTCGGAATCATTTGAGCCCGAGGTGCCCCGCACGTATTTCTTGCGCTGAATCGACACTTCTCGCGCCGTTTCGCTCAACACGCCGCTGCCAACTAACCGGTTATGATCGAACGCGTATTGTATGTTATCAAGCGTCTTGATATAAATTCTAAACTTTCCAGTTCCCTAAGCACACTGGCGCCATTCGTAATGAGTAAAATTCACCGTCGAGCAGGTTAGCGTTGCGCGTGACACTTTATTACGGCGGGTTTGTCGTTGGTACCGCAGGGGGTCTCTCCATGGTACCACAGGGCGTCTCGGAGGCCGCGATTTAAGACGGGAACAACGGTCGGCGAAAAACGTGTGCCGGTAGTAATTATATTTCAAGGCATCCACTCGACGGGCGGGATATTTTGACACTATGGGCCGCGCAAAGCCGGACCGCGACGAGCCGCCGGCTAGGGAACTACGTCATCGGGAATTCTATGGAACTCTCCGCGCGTCCAGGAATATACTCGTGGAATGTATATATCTGTATCTGGATGGGTCGCAACGTGCACGTTACACACACACACACACACGGTGTGCCGGCGATAATTTAGCCACGTCGGTGTTCTAGTGCCTATAAAGCGCGGGGGAACACCTCGCGGCGGAGGTGTCCGCCGACGGACGCAACCATAAACAACAACCGGAGCCGCTTATTTCGACGGCGTACGCACACCGTATATCCGTGTCAATCAATCGACATTGCGTCCGCGCATGTTTGATGTGGCCCCCCATTTGTCCCGGAGTTAGGTCGATACCGCTACGGTTTGTCACATGCCAATATCGCGCTGGACACACGCTAATTGGATATCGGACGGGCCGGAAGCTGCGGAAATTTTCTGACGCGAATTTTCACCGTCGGTCCGCCACAGACGAAACACGTCAAGGAATTTCCAAAAATCTTTTCTCGCGCCGACCACCTAATAAGTCTCCCGTCTGACGGTCGATTAACGCCGAGCGGACGGTATGGCTTTAACGGCGTGATAACCGGGCGTTCCACTTTCAGCGTGATATAAGTTGTCTATCCGACAGTCGATTATAACTCCCAGTGTAACGTGAGCATTAATGGTGAGATAACCAGTCGTCTGCGGCCTTTAACGGAACAATCCTGTTTCCAGAGGTGTACTTTCGGCGATCCACTTAATCACCGAAACTTTTCGCTCTGTGGGATAAAATCGTATCGACGATCAATCGAATATCAACGAAATGATTCGATCCGAATTTTCTCTGAAAGTGATTCGAC